CTTCAGCGTTGGCTGCGATTTTGAAGCTGAAATCGCGTTCGGTGTGAACGCTCTCTGAGGAATGCTTCCAGCACCTTGTTGAATCTATGCCACGAAGAATTGAGGCAGTTCTGAAGGCAAAAGGGGGTCCAACCCGTTACTAGGGTGGTGTACCTAATAAAGTGGCCGGTGAGTGTAGATAGATGGGTAGACTTGTTTTACCTCCATCAGAAGTTCTTCCAGTGTGTCCGGGTCATTGAGGTCCAGAACTTTTGGACTCAGCAGCTTCAGCTTCATCAGTCGTTTAGAAAAAGGAGCTTTAAAAGAGACATATGATGGTTTTAAATCCTTATTTTTCACATTTAAATGATTAATCTGGGGTCTATATGAATTGGAACTGCAATGATTGCATTTTTTAAAACTTTGAACGTTTCGTTTTTAGCTGTAAAATCATCAAACAGAAGGTTTACATGGTTCAGTCTGCTCAGTTCAGATAACAGAAGTCTGTTTGTTGTCACCCTGAAGGAGAACCGGATCAGAACCTACCCTTGTAGCAGAAGAAAGGCATCTTGCTGCTGCAGCTCCAGTTCTCCCAGCCTCCRTTATCCTCTAAGCAGGCAGCGACACAGTTCACTTGGACGTTGTYGGGTTCTCCTGCTGCCCAGCTGCTGAACAGGAGCTTCCTTCCATCCACCCACATCCAGGAGTCTCTGTAGAGACCGAGCCAGGCTTTCTGTCCTTGTGGCACCAGCTGCTTGATCATCTGGTTCTCCGTCTCGTTCCTCACGCTGGCCAGGTCCGTGTGATGTTCTCTGCAGTAGCTCTGAGCTGCAGGCCATGTCATGATGGTGTCGATGAAAACAAAAGTCACCTGGTCTCCTGGAAAAAGATCAGAACCAACCAAACACACCTTCATGTCAGTTTCTGTTACTCATTCTAGAAGACGTATAGAACCGTGGCGGTCCAGAAAGTCAGGACCAGAACCCACCGCTGACTGTGGAGCAGATTGGTTGGAAGAATGAACCACATCTTGTGTCGGCCCAGAGTCCATTATCAAACATCACCACACAGGGTTCTGCATGGTACCGGTTGTTTGGTTCTCCAGGAGACCAGTTTCTAAACCCGGTCCCACTGCTTATATAGAAACTGGTGTTTGAAAACAACCACCTCCAGCTGGTCACAGAGTCATAGAGTCCGATCCAGGCCCGCTGCAGGAGACAAGCAGTTATCAAACAGAACCGACTCTCCGCTACTACCACAGCAGAGTCTAGCACCGAGTCGGACCCAAACTGACTCGGGTGCTGTTCTGAGCAGCAAGAATCATTATCAAAGACAAAAACATTAAATTTACATGATTGGTTTCATTGAGGACCGTGGTGTTCAGGTCCACCATGTCTTTCAGAACCGTCATGTCCTCGGCTCGGTCCAGAGTCACCAGGTCCATGTAGTTCTGTCTGCAGAAGCTCTGAGCTTCAGTCCAGGTCTTCAGCTGGTTGATGAAATAAAGWCCACCCTGAGGGAGCGAGGAGACCCCACACAGAACTGCAACGACACACAGATCCAGACCCGTCAGGTTTAATGTGGAACTGTCAGGAAAAAGATGTGATCTGTAACAAGGTCTGTGGAGGTCCTGCAATGTGGGAGGACAGGTGGACCTCAGGTGGTCTTTTCAAATGGACAGGTTCTGTCTCAGCGTTCAGAGAAAACATTAAACAGAACAGACAGTCTTTAGAGCACGACTACACAGAGACAATAAACTGTCTGACCTGATGCAGCTGCGATGAACTGAAGCCATTTCTTCATCTTGCTCCTGGTTTCTTCCTTCAGCCTCTGCAGATCTGCTGAAATGATTTATCTGCAGAAAGGAGGCAAATCATTTGCACTTTTTACTTTTAAGACCTGATGCATGCTAGAAAGTCAAAACTATTCAAACTAATTCATTTACCTGCCAATTTACAAACCGCTCATTTGCCTCCAGGTTCCAAAACACAAGAATCAGAAAATAAAGGAACAAAAAACTAGAACTAAAATCAGACAACGAATAAAGAAACTACTAAAAATCCAAAGAGCCAGCAGCTGACAGCAGGACCACCTGCACGGCCCTCCTTCTGCTCCTCAGGTCAAAGTTCATCTTTGACCTGATGGATCCATCCATGGATGGATGGATGGATGGATGGATGGATAATGGATGGTGGATGGATGGATGGATGGTTGGTGGATGGATGGTGGATGGATGGATGGTGGATGGATGGATGGATGGTT